CAAACCTTTTTTCTAAGCTTTAAATCATAAATCCAAAAATAACAATATTGTTTATTCATCTAGTCCGAAGTGCGGAACGTACTCATTTTGTATATATGAGCTGTAGAATTTTTGTATCAGATGTACAAAAAAGTTCTGAGCTTTTTTTTGTAAAATTCAATCTTTATTCAAAAACAAACAAAAAATATTAATCAGCAAAATATTCCCCGTTTGCATCAACGACCTTTTGCCATCTTCCGAGTAGCTTGCGAATTCCTTGACGATAGAAGCTCACCGGCTTCGAAGCGATAAAGTCATCAATGCATTTTCGTATCTCTTCAAATCTCACGAAATGTGTATGTGTATGTGTATGTGTATGTGTATGTGTATAGCCAAATGATGCTGCAGCGACCGGAATAGATAATAACCGGAAGACGCCATGTCTGGGCTATACGCCGCATGCGGGAGAAGTTCACAGCCTAACGCAAAGATATGATCCTGAGTCGCTTTCGCAACATGTGGTCGAACATTGTCATGAAGCAAGATCACTTTACAATGTCCTTGGCCAGTAAATAGCCTCTTGTCTTCTAATCGCTCAAATTAGTCAATTGTTATTGGTAGCGGTCTGCCGTGATTGTTTCACCCGGTTGTAACAACTCGTAATACAATACACCTTTCCAATCCCATCAGATACAGAGCAAAACCTTCTTGGCGGATATTGGGCTTTGGCGTCGATGTTGAAGGTTGACCAGACTCAACCCATGATTTTCTACGTTTAGGGTTATCATAAAGAATCCATTTTTCATCGCCTGTAATGATTTTGTGCAGAAAATCTTTTTTCCGGAACTTTGAAAGCAAAGTGAGTGCAGTGTCACGTCGACGATTTTTGTTGTCTTCGGACAATTCATGCGGAACCCATCTGCCTTCCTTCTGAACCTTTCCCATCGTATGTAAACGTACGAAAATGGTTTGCTGCATAACGCCAACCTGTTTTGCAAGCTCCTTTTCAGTTTGCGCAGAGTTTATACTTAGCAGTGCTTGCAATTCATCCGTTTCAATCTTTTAAGGGCATCCAGCACGCGGTTCATCTTCAAGACTGAAATCTCCTTGGCGAAATTTTTAATACCATCTTTTACATGTAGTATGACTTACAGCGTTCTCATGCAGTTCTATGCAGCACAAATCATTGCAGTGGCTTCAGCAGCATTTTTCTTCAGATGAAACGCGAAGTGGATGGAAAATCGAATATGCTCTTTTGTTATTGCCATCGTGAATACTACTGATTTTTGAGGTTATGTGCATCAAACGCCAAACCGTATAGCATTTTAGAAGGCCAAATGTCAACGCTTTAAAACCGCAAAAGGGCGGGAAGATACATAAAATTTAAATTGTTATTTCGGTTGTATGAAATCTAAAGCTCAGAACTTTTTTGTACACCTAATATTAAGGAAACGAAGATCTGATATAACAGCTGTACGAGCTAAAATTTCGTAAATTTTTTAATTTTTTTTATTTACTTGTTAAATCGATTGTCCCGCATATTCTTTTTGTGCTTATTTTAATTGTCTGAAAGGATTTTGCAATCTGTCAAGCCAATAAAAAGTTCTTTGGTGCACTCTAATGTGTAATTGTGTCGGTAATTCCCGTCGTTTTAGGATCCCCTTAAGGTACAAAGTTATTTGCAATCCTCAAGATCTATAGAACACGAAAATAAGAAAATTAAAAAATGATCTTAGAAAAATTTCAAGTTTGAAATATGCCGAGATCATAGTTTCAAATGAACATATATAAATAGAAAGTCTGTAGGATTAAAAATAAAAATTTTCAAATGGCAGCATAAAATTCTTTAAGGAACAAAGATGTATTATTTACCATCCTCTTGATCTATAAAATACGAAAATAAGAAAATTTAAAAATGACCTTTAATAAATTTCAAGGTCAAATTATGCAAAAATCATAATTTCAAATGAATATATATAAATGCCGAATTGGGATTCTGTAGGATTTAAAATAAAAAATTTCAAAATGATAGCGGCAAAATTTTTTGGATTAAAGTACAAAGTTGTGTTAGTGTCAGTCCACAATCTTGCTTTAAGACTAAACCGTTGTCTTTAAATGGAAACTGTAGAGTCATAAACTGTAGTCGTTAAATAATTCTTTAAAGATGGTAATCCACAATGCAAGATGTAAAACGTAAGATGTAATGTATATCAGCTAATCAGAAAAAAAATAATGGAGTTGCGCTGTAGCAAAGACGCGTTTGTTTATACATGGCGAGATGGATATGCGTAATACTTTTCTGTTAACAACATTAACAACATTGTTTTGTTTGTGGAATGTGCACTTGTTGCAAATATATATAATAAAACAAAAAAGAAAATATCAAAATCGATGGTGGTAGGTGCGTCCATGTAATCGACGAAAATATCAAAATCGACGCCGCTATATCGAGGGCTCTTTTACAATAGTGTTCTTGAAATACAAATATACAGACCACGAAAAGTTTTTCAACCTGACAAGACTGACAATCGATTTATTTGACGAATTACTAGAAATAGTTGGTCCACATCTACAAAAGGCCAGTTACAGAGAATTTTTATCTCCGGAATTTCAGCTAGCACTATTTGGTAAGTTAGATTCTATAATTATTAGTTAATTTTATTAAAATATATTTCTATAGTTATAGAAAAATCTTCTATAAATGGTTGTTTACTTCAGCTATCTAGCCTTAGGAAATAGCTTGCCTTCTTTGGCTAATTATTGGCAAATTGGAAAGTCTACTGCCTATGACATTGTGCAGGAAACTTGTCGCGTTATTTCTAATACTATAGGTGCAACCTATCTCTTGCCCTCAAATCAGCAAGAATACAGAGAAATTGCTGATAAGTTTTGGCAGCGATGGAATTTGCCCAATTGCGTCGGAGCCCTTGATGGTAAACATATAAGAATTCAATGTCCAGCAAATACTGGATCTCAATTTTTCAACTATAAACAGTATTTTAGTATAGTGCTAATGGCAACTTGTGATGCAAATTACTGCTTTACATCAATCCATATTGGAGATTATGGTGAGTTGATTTGCATGAGTAGTGATATAAATACAATATTATATTTCATGTCATCATTTTATAGGATCGCTTTCTGATAGTAGTGTGTTCAGTGCTACAGAATTTGGTCAAGCTGTGGAAAATGATACACTGAATATACCGCCGCCATCCCCTTTGCCCGGCACAAATATTATGATGCCTTATTTTTTTGTAGGGGATGAGATATTCCCTTTACGTCAATTTGATGCGCCCATACTCTAAACGAAATCCATTGACTGAGACCCAGCGTATTGTTAATTACAGACATTCTCGAGCTCGACGAGCAATAGAAAATGCTTTTGGAATTTTATCAACAAGGTATAGTAAAGGAAATAAAATATGACATTAATCTTATCCGGAAAGTATCATTGTTAACATCTGTGTTTATATTCCAGGTGGCGTGTTCTTCGGACTTCATTAGCCCAACTTCCAGAATCTATTGAAAATATTGTATATGCAACAGTAAGCTTACATAACTTTATAATGAAGAAGGAAGAACATCAACAAGGATTTAAGAAATATTGCCCTCCTGCGTACGTTGATCAAGAGGATGATAATAGAATTATGATTCCAGGAGAATGGAGGAGAGATGTTGCAGCACCTAATATTTAAAACTTGCACAGAATAGGTGCAAATCGTGCAGCTGTTGCTGTTAATTTAAGAAATACACTTGCTGATTATCTTACCAACCACGAAGAAGGTCAAGTTCCTTGGCAAAGAATGGTTGTTTTCCGTGGCTATAATATTAATGTTCCTTAAATATGTACATATTTCAGTGTAACATATAGTGTAGTTCTAAGCATACAGTTTTAATTACTATAATAATAACATATTTGGCTCATGTATAATAAACCTCAACTCATAAACATAATTTTTTTATTGCATCTTACAATTATAACATATTTAGTTACATTTATAATAAACATATGTATCTATTTGTATATCACATGTATAATAAATCTTAACTTAAAAAAATAATTTTTTATTACACATTTTGTGAGTAAAATAAAATAAAAAAATATATTTAGTTGTAACAACTGTAACAAACATAAGTATTTATTTTTGCATCAAACCTTAACTAAAAAAAAATTTTTTTATGTGTTATGAATAAAATATATTTACATTCATAAAAAAATATATTTATTTATGCGAAGGTTTTAATATCTTATTATATTAATAAATATTAGCTGTGTTTAGCCAAATGCAATATTTATTTAAAAAAAATTTTTTAAGACATTAAAATTAAATATGTAAAATAAAATATAAATTAAAATTAAAATTAAAATAAAGAAAACATCAAATAAACGAAGGCAAATAACAAACGTAAAGACAAATTAATGTTGTACTAAATCAGCTTGTAGAGCTTGATAACTTTTGATTACATTCAATGTAGCAATTAAACAATCTACTTGTTTTATCACTGGTACTTGATCAAATGCAACTAAAATACTCTCAGCATAAGGATTCGACTTATATTTATGTTCATTTATTTTATTAGGAATAGATTCAGAAATGGATTTGTGCACAACTGTTGCAAGATTGGTTAAGGCTGAGGATTATGCTAGGAGGTTTTCTACATCATTTTTTTGTTTTTTTTTTTTGTCAAAAATATTTAAATCAGGAATGACTTTCTTCTTTTTTAAAAGAACAGATTTAGTTTCAGGCTTTATTTCAACAGTTGTTGAATCATAACTATCAAAACAAGCAGTACTCTCATTTATCGAGCTAGTATTATCGTCAACAACAATATCTACACTATCATTTTGTACAAAATCAATGTTGCATACTTTGCATACTACTTATAGATGGCTGTGGTGATGTAGGAGAAGAAATCTCGGATGACGTAGATAACGTAGATGATGTAAAAAAATATACGTTTCTCATAGAACTACGATCTCTATAATAAATATATATGTTTATTGATCAAATTAATTTTTTTTAGAAAATATTCACCTTCGGTGACTAATATGTAGAATTAGAAATGACATAGCTCCCATAAGACATACCATTCCACTTTTTTAGCATTAATGCCTCCACTTGATCCACTGGCTGATTTTACTTTCATTTCTCTTAATTTTTTCCCAAAATAATTTCGTAATTGATTCCATTTATTCTCTATTTCTTCGACTATATGAATAACAAAGAGGTTAGAATAAATAAATTATAAATTACACATTTTAGCATATACATAAACAGCAATAACCTGATGATATTCCACACTGTACTTTTTATCATATTCCAGGTATCTTTCTTTACTTCGTGATTTTTATAATCCGGATGTTTTTTGTTATACAATATTGGGTTCTCTTTCACTAAAGCGATTAGAATTTCATCTTGAATTTCCTCCTTCATGCTTTCTTTTAAATAAATAATTTAATATAAATTTAATATAAATGCTGAATAGAAAGTCTGTAGGATTAAAAATAAAAATTTTCAAATGACAGGAAAAAAATTTTTTACATTAAGGTACAAAGATGTATTATTTACGATCCTCTAGGTCTATAAAACACGAAAATAGGAAAATTGATAAATGATCTTGGAAAAATTTCAAAGTTAAACTATGCCAAAGTCATGGTTTCAGATGAACATATACAAATGCTGAATTGGAAGTCAGTAGAATTAAAAATAAAAATTTTCAAATGGCGGCAACAAAATTTCTTAAATTAAGGTACAAAGTTGTGTTATTTACGAATCTCTAGGTCTGTAGAACACGAAAATAAGTAAATAACGAAAATTGATAAATGAGCTTGGAAAAATTTCAAGGTCAAACTATGCCAAAATCATAATTTCAAATCAACATATATAAATGCTGAATTGGAAGTCTGTAGGATTAAAAATAAAACTTTTCAAATGGCAATGGCAAAATTTTTTAAATTAAGGTACAAAGTTGTGTTATATCTGTAAGATTAAAAATAAATATTTTCAAAATGGCAGCGTTAAATTCTTTAGTTTAAGCTACAAAGTTGTATTATTTGCCTCTAGGTCTATAGAACATAAAAATAAGAAAATTTAAAAATGACGAAAAAATTTCAAGGTTCAACTATGCCAAAGTTTCAAATGAACATATATAAATACTGAATTGAAAGTTTGTAGGATTAAAAATAAAAATTTTCAAAATGGTAGCG